CGTATGTATGCTTTCCTCATCCTGGTATTGTATATGTTTTACAAAGATGTATGTGGGTGTTGGTCTCTTTTCCTTGATTAAAAAAAAAATCCAGTGTGTCCTTTTCCTTGTGCATATGTAGGTTGGCCTTTAGTTCAGGAGTCCTCTCTTTGGTTTTTGTGTTTATTCCATTTGGTCTCTGCTACTGTTTCCTCCCAGTCATCTGCCATCTTTCCAACTTTCTCTCTTATATCCTTATCGTTTTCTCTTTCATAGTTGCCATGATTTTATCCTTTTCCTCTGAATTTTGTGAGAATTCCTCCAGTTTATCCTCTGTGTTTCTGAATTGGTTTTCTGCTGTGTCATTCCTTTTTATGGCTTCCAAAGGTGATTTGAATTGTGCTCCTGGGTTTTTAGGTTGGGGTTTTAGGTTTTCCAGCTCTTCTTTCTCTGCTGCGCCATCCTTTCTGTATCATCATGTGGCCTTTTCAGCTCAGCCTCATCTTCCCTTTTGGCTTTTTACTCCTACTTCATAGAGGCCGTGTCCTTTTAGATCTTTTTAGTCTGACATGTCCATTCAGTTACATATTATCTGTGGCTGTTTTTTGAGCTACAGTAACAGTGTGAGTAGTTGTGACAGAGACTGTGTGGCCTGCAAAGCCTGAAATATTTACTGTTTGGCACTTGGCGAAAAAAAAAAACTTTACAGATCCCTGTACTAACATGAGAGCTGGATTCCCTCCCAAACCCAAGCTGCACGGTAAGGTAGTGGATCCTCCAGTTCCCGATTCCTGCTGGCCTTTCCCCTCAGTTCTCTTCTGCTCTGCGGAGGTGGTGTCCTTCTGCCTCCACTGCCTGCTTTTCTCATTCTCTGCATCACCAGCATAGACAACAAAACAAGTACACGTGCCCACTGCAAACGTTGTCCTCCCCACCTGTACCCAGCCTTGAGCGTCCTTCCCCTCTCTGGACAGGGGCACCACTACTGGTACCTCCACCACTGGTGCCCCCACCCACTTCCTGCCCGTCTGTTCTCTGGTGATTGTCTCCCTGTCATCTTCCTTTTTTCTGAACTTGTCTGTTTATCAGCAAAGAGCTGTGTCCTGAGGTAAAACCTGGACAGGTTTTGCTTGTTCCACCACCATCTGCCTTTAATTAATGGAGATTGCTCCAAGATTCCAAGCTTGGGTCATCTATCAGTTTAGTTTTTTGGCATTAGTGTGAATTTTCTTTTTTTTTTTTTTCATTGTCTTTATAGCTATTTTGGAACAAAACAAGGGGAGGCCGCATGGGTGGCTGCCAGGTAGATGCCATTTTCAAGGAGCCGGAGACGTGTTTTAAAGCTGCGTTTTGTCCATCTTAAAGCAGTCTCTGCAGCTTTGTGTGTATTTGATAAAAGGAGAAAATGCAGGAGCATTTTCCTTATGCAGAGACCGCTTGTCCAGTGACCTCAGTTCTCTGGAATACAGCCGAGCAGAGAGTCCGCAGGCAGCCAGGGAGCTACCACAGTGTCCGTGTCCGCGTCCGTGAAGGCGGTTCACTGCACCCCGGGGAGGGCACTTCAGCCCTCAGTCCGAGCCTGCTGACCCCTGCTTTACAGCTGCTTCTGACAAGCATGGTCTTTCTGTTTCCCTGGCTCACAACTAAATTAGAATCAGCAAATCGGAGGGGAGGAGGGGACATGTTACAACGACAAGCACACTGACCTGACGAGGTTTTCTGGCTGCCAGAGAGGAAGGACCTAGGACCCACATAAAAACAACAGAAAACCGAATACAGTCTGAATGTGCACACGATGAGGCTGGCCCCGTGGTACACACGTAAGCGCAGGTGGCTTGAGGTTGCCCTGTGATTCCATTTGGAGCTTACAGCGTCCCCTCTGGGCCTTTCCTTTGGCAGCCTGGCTCCTCTGTGCAAGTCTGGGGTGCAGAGACCCCATCCCCACCTCCCTCAGCTATGATTGGTTCAGACAGTGGTTCTAACCCTGGCTGCATGTTAGAATCACCTGGGGGACTTTGAAAACCTGGACATGCAGGCTGCCCCCTAAACCAGTGAAATCAGAATATCTTGGGGTTGGACCCAGGCATCAGTGTTTTTCTAAAGCGTTTGGATCATTCCTCCATATGGCTCTGGTGGGGAACCAGGGGGTCAGGAACATGGGCTCTGCAGCCAGACCATCTCATCCGTAAAAGAGGTCTGCTGGGCAGGGCTGAGTGCAGGGCCACATGCCTTGCTACTGCCCTGTGAGTGGCTCTTGTGATTGAGGTGCAGGCTCTTGACATTCATGGGGGCGGCTGTGATTTATCAAGCAGGATCTGGAGCTGGATCTCACTAGGCAGTGATGGATGCCACACATTGGAGGACAGTTTCTGTCCCAGATGGATACTTGGCTCTGACAAGAAGAGCTGTAGATGCTTGTAGGGAGGAGTGATGGAGAGGAAGGTGAGGGTGCTAAAGATGCGGGGTCAGGTCATCCCAGGGGCTGCCTTCCTTCCTGCCCGCAGGACAGGCCGCACTTGGTGCAGGCATCCTGGCACCTTTCTGAGCTCTGTGGTCCTGTCTGTAGGGTGTCCCTCCCTCATGGGGCCGCCTTGAGGCTCGGAGGAGCTGGTGTGCTGTCAGGGGCTGCCTGCAGTGCTGAGACGGGGAATGAGTCTCAATCCTGCAGAGGAGGCAGGGCAGGTGATTGATCGGTATGCAAGTACTGATGTGGGCCAAAAAAATAACAAGAAAGTGATGAGAGTGGGTTCAGGGCTGTCCGGGCAGTGACGTCACCGGCACCGCTGGCGTTCCAGCTCTCTTTCCTGAGTGCAGAGGACAGGCAGGGATGCTGGCCAGCTCGCTGGGGACGCAAAGACTTACGCACAGCCTGAGTTCAGCCCCAGCAGTGGCTTGACTGTGAGCGTCATCTGTCCCTGAGCTGGCAGAGATGCGGCCAAGAGTGGCTGTTCCCAGCGGTGAAGCACAGTGCCATGGCGGAGGGGGTGCCAGTGCTTGGGGGTGCCAAACACATGGACTGTGTGTTTCGGCTGCTGTGAGCTTGCGTCTTGACGTCTCAGACTTGGACCCAGTGGAATACAGGCCAGTCTCTCTGGGCGCCCCAGGCCCTGCCTTCCGGGAGATCCCGACTCCAGGAGAGACTGGCACTGTGGCCTCCGGTGCCCCTGGACAGGGCATCCTGGCATGGGTCCAGGGACTTGGACCCCAGGTAGCAGGAAGGAGGGGCTGTTTTTTTCCATTTCCTGAGGCTAGTTCCTAACGGGAGCCCCAGGAAGCTGGCTCAGATGGGTAGCAGGGGGCTGCCAGGCCCATGGTTCCCAGGACAACAGGGTAGAGCTGTTTCAACTTTAATTAGGACCTTGAAAGAGGCAGCCACCTCCCATGGGGCCAGAGGCTGATTCCGGGGTGATCTCCGAATATTCCCTGCAGATCTAAGCAGTGGTTTGGGGGGCAGGTCACACTAGAAGGCCTGGCCTCCTGTCCTAGCTTTGTCCTGGGCTCCCACACAAATTACTCCTCACCCCTAGCCTGGCCTTGGTTTTTCTCTTTGCAGGATGAAGGGCTGGCACCTGCTCCTGGGACAGTCGTGTGTGTGTGTGCGTGTGTTTATGTGAGAGTCGTGTGTGTGTGTGTGTGTTTTCCCTGCACCTTTCTAGTCTCACCAGCACACACACACAGCCTGTTACCACTGTCGCTACTCCTAGGACAGGCTGGGCTCTCTGCAGCTCCCTGACTGGCCTGGCTGGTCTTCCCTGCCAGCCGTCACCAAGTGTTCCACATCCCCAGCTCTGAGCTGAACACCCTGCCCACGTCAAGGGAGAATCCATTGGTGTTTACTGAGACACAATATCATGGAACCAAGAATACAGTGATCCCAGCATTTCAGACCCAAGGTTAAGGCCCAGCTTTGCCACTAGCTAACTGTCTAGGATGCAGGTGGGCAGGTGGCCTCTGTTTCCTTATCTGTAGAATGGGAATCACGCCCACAGATCAAAGGATGTTTGTGAGAGTTCAGTGAGATCCAGCATGTTGAGTGGTGGTGCAGGGCTGGCTAGAGTGATTTATTGGGCCTCTGTGGTGGGCTGGCCATCACCCTAGAGTGTCACACACGGATCTAGCAAAGGAATTGCATCACCCCATCTGAAGGGGGAGGGGGGAATAGCTGAGGGGTAGAGTGCCTGCTTAGCATGCACAACATCTTGGATTCAATCCCTAGTACCTCCATTAAGAAATAAGTAAATAAACCTAATTACTTCCTCCCCCACAAAAAACAAACAGTTGAAAAAAAAAAAGAGCAGGGATTGCCTGCAGGAAGAGGGTATGCTTGGGCTGGTGTTGGAGGCATGCATCTGGTAGGTCAACTCGGGCCACCCCAGTCACAGGCAGGCCCCAGGGCCCTAGACACCCTCCCTGGCTTGCACTCGGGCTCTGGGACATCCCCGAAGTGATACCCGGCGGACGCGGGCTCTGCGGCCCTGCCTCTCAGCAGTAGGGCCCATTAGAACTGAACTCTTCTTCGTGGGGCATTTTATTTGCACACTTCAGTAGAGTGGACACCAAAGGGGTTTTCTAATGCTTCATGGGCTGCTAATTTCCTCCGTGACCTCTTTTGTTGGGGCCTGACCCCAGCCAGAGGCTGCTCGCCATGGAAGCCAGCGCCTGACACAGACCCAGGCCGCGGGGTGACAATGAGGCCTCTATCGGCTTTAATCAGGCTCCAGTTGCGTCTTAAGAAGAGGGGGAATTTGTGTGGTGCTCAGAAGCCCTGGGTGGCACAATATGGGAGCCCCCGGAGTCCCTCTCAGAGGCCAAGGGGGCTGAAAGGGGGTGGGTAGGGAGGGGGCCCTTTGTCCCAGGCGCCTCTTGAGAAGGCCGGGCCTCCCTGAATGGCCGACAGCATAGCCTGGCCTAGGGGTATCACAGGCCTCTGGATATTTAGAGAGGTGGCCTCCCGTCTGGCCCGCAGGCCTATTCTTCGCCAGCCTAATTAGGTTTTGTCTGTGCTGTCCCCTCCCCTGCAGACTGTGATTCCTACTGCAAGGCCTCCAAAGGGAAGCTGAAGATTAACATGAAAAAATACTGCAAGAAGGACTATGGTGAGTGAGAGCCCCCTTGTCCGGGGAGGAGGGGAGGGAGCCCCATGACCAGCGAGGGACTGGGGTTGGGGTACAGGTGGCCCTGTGTAGTTGTTGGTCACAGAGTCCCTGTGACCCGACAGGAGCCGAGTGGGATGCATCCCACGCCCCGGCATTCCTCATCTCTTTCCTCCTTGGTCCTGGGAGGCAAGGGGTGTGAGGGGCCCCAAGCTCGGGGGCTGGGTTCTCCCTTTGGCCCCGCAGGGAGGTATCCTGGTCAGTGGGGCCTGACAGGCCTGGGATGCCCAGGCTTTGCTCTGCCCCCCAAGGGGCTGTGTGGCCATAGACCAGTCACTTTACCTCTCTGGTCCTCATCTGTGCCCTTGGGCATTTAGCCTGAGGCTCTGTAGCTCAAAGAGAAGTCCTCAGGCATCAGAAAAAGGGAGGGACTGGTGTGTTTAGAATGCTGATTCCAGAAGCCAGCTCCTTCTGAGGGGTTGACTCCACCAGGCTAGATGGAGAATCTGCATTGTAAATAGCTCACTGGTAATTCTAATGCACCTGAAGTTTGAACACAGCCTCAGAGGATCTCAGAGGGCCTCTTCCAGCTGGGAGCTGTGGGGCTAAGGCTCCCTTCCTGGGAAGAGGGTGTCCCCTCCACCCCCCAGTGTCTCTGCACCTTTCAACCCAGCACTGGGGACAGGGCCCTGCACACCTTCTCTTTTGGGCTCTCTTTTGCTGCCTTCTGTCAGCACTTGCTGGAATCGCTCGCGCCAGCCCTGCCCCATGGGAGGTGAGGAGCCGGATTTGTGGTTTCTGGTCCCCAGGAGTGTCCAAACTGGCTGGAGGCCTGGGCTGGCCAGACACCACATGATGTGAGGTCATAGCCTGATTGCAGTCATGACGGGTGGGAGCCCCTTGTAGCCCATGAGCAGGTGTGTGCAGATAGCTGAGGGGGCACTTCTGAGTGGGAGAAACGAACAGAAGTCCTGACAAGATTGTCCAGCCGTCTGCTGGCAGAGCTGGGGAAGGCCAGGGTGTGGAGACCAGGGTGTCCGTCACCCAGCCAGGAAGTAGCCACCACCTGGATGCCCGCCCAAGGGCCCTGAACCCAGGCCTGGCTCTTTCTACCCCAGGGCCTTCCTCCTGATCCAGTGGGCCTGGCTGATCAGGCTGAGGCAGGGCCTTACTTTTCCTGGACCCCAAAAATCCACTCAACCCATCACCCTGTGTCTGCCCCTCTGCTCCAGCTGGATGTTGTCTGGTGTTGCCCATTTCTTCTCCATCTGGCCCCTGGAGGCAGGTTTCCCCATCAAGGCCTCGGCGGCCCCACCCCTTCCACCACCCCCCGCCACCTCTGGGAAGGCCTCAGCAGCCTCTGTCTCCTGCCCAGCTTTCGAAGTTGGCCCTGATTTTGCACCTCCTGTGGAACCTGGTGGTTTCTCTGAGCCACAGTTTCCTTGTCTGTAACAAGGGGGTGATGCCCTTACTGTGTCGTATGGAAGCCCCGACCACAGGGCCAGGTGCCTCATAGTCTCCTGGTGAAAAGTGACTTCAGCTGGTCCCCTGGAAGCTGGGTGGGAGGGGGACGAAGGAAGGACCAGGGGTGGGAAGGGAAAGATCACTTGGTGCAGAGGCCTTGTCTGGATCCCTTGTGACATCCCCCCGACCCAGCGGGCTCCAGCAGCCCGGCCTGGGGCACCGCGTTCCATAGGGCCTCTCTGGGCCAGCTGTTTGAACCAAACGTGAGGTGTTGCTCTTTAGTAAGGACAATGGTCAGGACCTTTTAGCATAATGAAGTGAACGATGAAACCCAAAGGAATGTTAAGAACGCCTAAAGCTTCCTCATTTTACTGCATGTGAGTGTGTGTGTACACAGGCGCACGTGTACACACAGGCACACGCGTGCACACACGCACACCCCAGGAAGCCCAGGATGTGATCCCATGATCCAGCTGCGCTCCCTGGAGGATGAGGCCAGCGTAGATGGTTTCAAGTGTCAACTCCGAAGTGGCCAGGCCACGGGTGTCCCTGTCCCAGACCCCTCTGTGTCCACAGTGAATTCCTGAAGGGCCCCTTTAAAGTGCTTGCATCCCAGGGCAGTGCAGAAACTTCAGACTTTCACAGGAAAACAAACCTTGATTTTTGAAAGCAAACTTTGAGGTGGTTTAAAGATAAAGGACATTCTTTCTCTGACCCAGAGTGACAACAGCCACCAGAGGCCTCAGGTGTGGTTTTGGATAAGGCTTATGTAGCCCTGTCCTCCTGGTCCCAGCATCAACTGGGGACAGCGAGGTGGGACTCTTGTGCGACAAGGACTCGGGTTCTGCCTTGTCCCAGGCTTAAGGCATGGGGACTGAGCATGGCTGTCAAGGCCCAGAGAGCCAGGGTCACAGAGGAGGGCCCGAGGCCCGTCCCTCTGCCACCCTCTCTTCCTCTCTGCCCAGAGCAGGGGAAGGGCGGTTTTGATTTTGGTCTGAAAGCGCCCTCTAAGCAGATCCTGCGGCAGGCGCTTGGGAGGAGGGGAGCTGCGCAGACTTGCTTTTCTGCGAGGCGTTGACTGCAGCCCCTGTTCTTTTCTTCCAGAAAAAAAGGGAAAACTGGACTTTAAAGTTACCCAAACAGATCCATTTTCCACCTGGTGCTGTGGGACTCATTCCCTTCTGGCTGCTTTTCCCCCATGGAATCTGCCTCCCCCACCCTGACAGTGCAGCGGGCACTTGGCTTCCTCTGAGCTCTCCCGCCCCCCAGCAGCAGGCAGGTCCCCCTCTCAGCGGATGGGGGCCTGGCTCCCTCCTGCTGTAAGGGGCCCTCCCTGAGCTCTGCCACCACCGTAGGCCCCCGGGCAACAAAGGGTAGTGGGTGGGGCAGGACTCGGCCTCCTGACTCAGCCCTGCCTTCTCCGCACCTGACTTCCTCATGTATTATCCCTGGAAGCTGCTGTCAGAGGTGGGGCTTCAGTTCCTTCGTCTCACAGGTGGGGACCCTGCCCCCGCTGGCTGAGGTGACTTGCCCAGCAGAGGCCCAGCCTGCCCCCTACAATCACATTTGCCCCAAGGCCCCACCTGGCCCAAAACCCAGAGGGCAAGAGACCGCCTGGTGTGCCCACCTTCCCAGACTTCATCATGGCCACCCCAGCCCCTGGCCCCACACCACTGCCAGGTGCCTGGCCCCGGCACCCACATTTCTGCCACAGGGCAAGATTTGAGGAGGAGCAGATGCAGGAGAGAAGCGGGGAGCCTTCAGGGCGCCAGCTAGGTCTGGAGATATTGTGTCATCAGATTTAATGTCCTCTGGTCCGTCCCCCTAGCCCATTGACACTGCCTCTGTCCACTCCCCAGAGACTCTTGGAGGGGGTTTCTGGCCCCCAGGATGGGCCACGATACTCTTGGGGTCACCTAAATGTTGGGGAGCATCCCTCTGCAGCCTGGCATCTAGGCCTGTGTGTTCAGGCAGGAGGCAGGACAAAGAAGCGTCTCGGAAGGGGATTGCAGGGGCTTCTGGGAAGGGCTTGGAAGACCCTGCTGGTGTCAGGCAGAGAGAGGCTTGTTAAGGAAGGAGTGAGTGTCACCCACAGGGGCTGGGCCGGGGCCCACGGGGGCAGCAAAAGTTCAGCCCAGCGGCAGCTGCAGACCTTGCTGTGAGGCGGGGAGCCAGGACTCCCACTGGGCTCGGTGGAGAGTCTTCCCTGCATCCTGATGGGCCCCTGGATGAGGTGTGTGTGGAGGTGTTCCTTCCACACCAGGGCAGACCTGGGCCAGCCCAGGGCAGATGAGCAGAAGGAGGGCAAGAAGGGAGCCGGCCAGCCTGGAGATCGGGGAGGAGGTGAGGCCGGCCAGAGCAGGCTAGCCGAGGAGGGCGGCTCGGAGGGGCTGCATAATCCCCGCTCTCTGACTGACACCCCAGCAGGGAGCCAATTAGGAAACATGTTTCCTTCACTTTACACCCAGGGCACTTGGATGTTCCAGAAGCTGCTAATTAGAACCTGGGGTCTCCTGCCCCTGCTGGGTGAAGAGCAGGCCCCAGACCCCCTTCCTCCTCCATGGCCTGCTCGGGAGAGTCTTGACCTTGTGTGGCTGGAGAACACACACTTAGTTCTCCGCTGAACTGGGCTGTGAACGGTGGGCAGAGGCCATGGGGTGCAGGAGGGGGCGAGGAGAAAGACCTGGGCTGGCTTGGGGTGTGCGGGTCCTGCCCGTGTTCCTCGCATGTTCCCAGTGAGGGGGTGCCCAGCAGGTGGGGGTGGCTACCAAGCAAGGCAGGGAGGAATTAGGGTGGGGGAGGCCTCCGGGCCAAGCCTGCCATGCCTCTGTCTTCTGGAGAGACTCCAGGACAAGGAAGGGTGGCCATTCCATTCCTAGCCATAGGGAAAGAGGCACTGGCCCCAGAATCTGGAGGCAGATTCCATATTTGCTGTGTGACTTTGGACCAGGCTGGGCCTCAGTTTCCTGATCTGTCCAGTGGTGGTGCGATCAACGGGATGTGATGTCCTTCTGGATGTGACAAGGATGGTGGCCCCACCACCCTATCTCCAAGGGGCAGGGGTCCCTGGTGATGCTGTCATTGCTGACCCACCTCTCTGGGGCCACCTTAGTCCTCTGTTGCCCTCTAGGGGACTTCAGCTCACCTTGCAAATGCTGAAACAGTGCCAGTGGGAAGGCTAAGTGTGGGACGGCTGTGCGCGGAAGATGGTTTCTATTATTTTCAAATGTTTTAGCACTTCTGCCAACTTCTCAGGAAAACCTAGCCTCATAGGGGCCCTTCCTTTGTGTAAATGCTCCCAGTGTGTGTGTGAGAGTGTGTGCACATGTGTGTAGGTGTGTGCAGTGGGATTGTGTGCATGTGTGTTGCAGTGCACCTGTGTGTGTGTGGTGGGGGGAGTGTCCGGTCAGCGGCTCCCATGCAGGCAGAGCCCACTCACCCCTGCTGGAGGCGCCGGCTCCGCGCCGCGTGTACCCGGAAGCCCGGGCTCCAGAACCTTGGCCTGTAGAGTCAGGCAGTGGGGATGACAGGATGACACT